TAAAATTTATGTATTCTTTTAAAACAGAAAATGAAAAGATTATTGAGATTTCATATTTAAATATTAATATGGGAAAAATATAATTTTATGGTGATGGTTTAAATAAAAAGTTATATCAATTATTTGTTGATTTATTAGTGATCACTTTTATTTTGACAGGAAAATGATAATTTTATGAATTTTATAAATATATGTACCATTATTCATATATTAAGTATATATAACACAAGTTATTGTTAAAACATTGAAACATTTACTTATAATATAATATACTAATACTCTATTTACATTATAAATCATATTATTATTTTATTATTATATTTAAAAATAATATTTACATAATTCTAATTTTAGTTTATCAAAATAATTATAGATTCAATAATATTTTATTTAATTGTATATTTTAAATGAAAATACATTATAATAAAAGTGCCAGTACATTCATTTAAAATTAGTTTTAAATGAATTTTTTTACATACATTACATAGTTACATACATTAAAAATATATTTTATATTTTATTAAAAAATAGAAAACTTATTTTAATTACCTCATATTTTAATGTATTTAATCAATTTAATTTTAGAATTATAACTATAACTATGTAACATAATTTATTTTTTTGATGCATGTATTTTTCAATATTATATATAATATGAAGATATTCTAATAGTAGTTAAATAAAAATATTAAATTATAAACTATAAAATAAAAAATTTATAAAAATAATTTTCTTTTAATTTTATTTTTATTCATTATTTAATATATTTTTTAATATGTTTTATAAATATAACATAAAGTAGTATTAATAATAAAATTTTTGTTTTCAAAAGTTAATTTAACAATATGACATATCATATAAATATCAATATCTTTAAATATAATTCTGTAATAAAATTACTAATAATACAGATACATATACAGATACAGATACATATTGGATACAAAGTTACATATTGTAACAAATTTTTTTGTTGTAATCTTAATAGATTATTCATAATGTAAATTATTGTAGATAAAAATAAATATTTATTTTTTTATCCATGAAATAACTTTTTTTTTCATTTTTCCTTGTAAATAATTTAATAATATCATTTTAAGTTTTAAACATCCTCTTCACCATATTTTCAAATTTTTGATTTGCTTCTTGCAGTTTTGTATTATATAGTAAATATTGTTCTTTTATTGTTTGATTATGTGGTTCTAAATTAATAGCATTTTTTAAATCAGGAACAGCCTTTTCAAGATCTTTTAATCTTCCATGTGCAACTCCTCTTCTATATAATGCTTTAACATTATTGCTTTCTTTAGATAAAACTTTACTACATAAAGATATTGTATATTCATAATTCTTACGATTTAATTGACATCCAGCCATATTATTATATAGTACAAGTCTTAAATTATTAATATTATTTTCTAATTCTTTATCTAATTCTAAATCTCGTATTGGTTCTAATGTTATAAGAATTTTGCAAGCTCTACTAAATCTATAAAATGCATCTACCCATCTTTGTTCTTTAAATAAATATACACCAGTTTCTTTATATTTT